TTACAAAATAGTTTTTAAAATATTCACCTTTAGGTAGTCTACCCACTTGGTTTCCAACTCACTCCAATTTGACTAGTTAGCCAGGTTCAATCTAATTCATTTTTATTACATTGTTTATTTGAATTGAATTGGACTAGACTAAACCACCTCAAGTTGGATTGAACTAAACCAGACTACGGGTTCTTACACATCCTTAATTAGATGGACTATAAAATGCTTTAGTGCACTAATTGCACTTGGAAAAATATTTTAGACGGCCACTGATATATCTTAACCTTATGTTTAAATATGTACGAGTAGTTGTAATTAATATTAAATAATTCAATCATAAATCCTAAAATAAGGCGAGTTGCAAATTAGAAAATAAAAAGAAATTTAAAGGTGCACTTGCTTGCGTAAAAGTTATGCCTGTTAAAAAGTTGAGAGCATAAAGGTTGTAAAGGTCGACAGCGGGTTAGGTGGCGCGACATGGCAACATGGGATTGGAAAGATGCGGAAGCGTGAGACGAATAAGCAAAGAGTAGCGCACTGAGAGAGAGAGAGAGGGGGGGGGGGGGAATCAAGCAAGAACCCTACTAACTACTCAGGGGAAAAACATGTAAATAAGCAATCAAACAAGAAGAAGTGAGTTGGTTAGGTACGAAACATTTGGCAATGCCGGATATTATCAGTGCAGGTACAACTCAAATAATGGAATGAAATAAAACAAAATGTTATTCTACTGAAAATTCAACTAGTAATTAAATTAATTGAGAGAATGGTCCCAGAGTTAGTGATTTAGGCTTTGTTTGCCATTACGATTGAAATAACTTATAAACATATTTTATATAAGTCAAGACAAAACTCTTTTTATATGTTTACTTCGTATTTCGTAAATTATGATTAAAAAGCTACTTGTAAACCGTTCTAAATAAGCCCTTAATCATAGTTAAATTGAAGTCAATCCAATTATAGTTGAAATATGAACAATACTTATATTAAGTGATTTATATTTATCATGTCAAGTTCTCCAATTATACATGAAAATAACTTGACTTAAGTTTTTCCTTAAAATATACAAAAATATATACATAATAATACACTTAAAAGTGCTGTAACATTTAAATGAAAAAGATATTAATTCATAGATAGATAAAAACATTATATATAAGTCACATATACTTTAACAAATAAGAGTTATTGAAGCACAAATATGACAGAATGTTAATTTAACCAAAAAAAAAACTGAAAGAAAATGTTGTAAATCCCATGCAAAATTCAACTCGGTCCATTCGTCCAAAACTTTCGATTAGACACTAGTCCTTTTTTTTCAAAGACATCCTTTGTATTTCTTTAAAAAAAATATTTATATAAAATATACAATTTATAAGTAATCGTATTATTTATAAATTATACATATGCAGATTAAAGGAAATTTATAAATGGGTAACTCATTATTCATCCTTGCAATTCGCGCGTGAAATCTCAAACATGATTCTTTTGGACATTAATTAATTTTGAGAACCGAAGGCAGAAAAAAGAGGGGAAAAAATTTACGGATTATTGTAAAGCTCTTATAAAGTTATTGTTCTGGACCTTTTGCTTTTCATCAGATAAGGATAAAATATTACTATAAAGCTATGTCAGGCTTGCAGGCCCTCGTCCTTCAAATGCAGACAGATCCCCCACCCCATTGGCGGCTCGTGAACATCAGAACACGGGAAAAAACCTTGTTTTTGGCCAATTTGAAAAAAGAATTATTAAGATTTTATATTTTTTTCTCCACATTTTTTTTGGATAGAAAGGGGAATAATTTTTTTTTAAACATTTATCCGAAAGAGTAGGAATAAGTAGGAATATTGCTGTTAGATAGTTTTTAATTCAGAATTAGGTATAAGGATAATACCGACTTTATTTTACACTTTCTATCCATATGAATGACGTGGCATTCAAATAATAGGTAGTGATAATTTCTGCATCCTTTAACCTTTTGGATTAAGGCGATTATTACAAAACTGAATCACCGGTCAATTCCATATTAGTTCTGCCTGTTAAGGGTTAGGCATTAATCCGTATTTATTACTATTTAATAAATTTACTAAGATCCTATTAATCCAGAAGGTTTTATTAGAAGTTTGTCAACTTGGGTTGTGGACGATATGGAAATCAATGATAATAATTGTCCTAAATGCGGTAAAGTCAGCCCGGGAGGAAGTATAAACTATAAATTCATTTTTATCCCAAAAAAAAAAAGAAGAAGAAAGATAAAAATGCATTTTTAATTTTTTAACTTTATACATAGTTTACGCCTGCTTGTTTGAGTCTTTTAACACTAGCAGGATGAGTTTGAAATGATGAATTTTTGAGTCAAGTATTTAAGAAATGTTTTGTCAACATTTGAAATTTCAATATCAACGTTTTTAATACGTGAGGGTTAAATAAAAAAGCACTTTATAAAATTAAGAGACTATAATTAAAATAAAAGTTTAAGTGAGCATTTTTTTTGGGTGATATTTACGTGAGCATTCTTAGACAGAGAAATATAACACAGGCAATCAATATAAATTTTATTGCAGTAAATGTGACAAATTAAATTCATTGATAATATGAAATTTTTTAAAAATTGAGTGATAAATTTATACATGAAATATTTAACGACATATGTATATGTATTAAATAAATAAGCCTTTTTGTTTCCCTGTACTCTGAACGATAAAGTATCCCAATAATCCAATGAGCACATGCATGCATGAAGACATTAACAGATTCAATTCAGGAAATAGATAGCAAGTACAATAAGACAAAAGGATATTTTTTTTTAAATTGAAAAAAAATTATGACAGCCTATGTTCTGTCAGAAATCAGAAGAATACAAGACGGAAAGGGCAATTGCGGAAATAAAATGCTTCATGAAAATGCTGGGCACTATGAATATTGTGATAGAAATATCTTAGCATCCTGAAAAATATTAATGTTTCGGCGGATAAGCCAAGTAAAATATTAATAGAATGTGACAAAAATTACAAAAAGCAAAATATTCAATATGTTTTCTGGCCAAAAGCTCCCCTAAAAAACTACTAATCTGAGGGTGAGCCAATGAGAGCACCGTAGAGGAGATTTTGGCCCCCCTCCTCTTCAATTTTGCCAAATGAGGGAGATTTCTCTCTACATTCAAGCATTTATGTATTCGATTTTTCAATAATATGCATTTATTTATAAATAGTAATATTCAGTATCTTAATCTTATTTTTTAGGTGCACATGTTATATTTTTGATGTATCCAGTATCTTGATTTTATTTTTTCATTTTTACTGACCACCCTAATTGTATTTATGGTCTATCATATTTGATGCATTACAAATAAAATTATGGCATTGGAAGTAAAATAAAAAAAAAAGCCTTGGGGGCACAATAAATTAATATCTGAGTATTAGGCGCCACTTTAGCTTGTATTTATTTATAGAAAGAATGGTTAAAAAAACAAATTTCTGTGGACCCACATTTATTTATTTATTTTTTAAGAAAGGAAAAACAAAGAGAAAATAAAAAAATAATAGTTGAATTTTAAATTTTTAAATAAAAAATTATTATAAAAATGTGTTATTATTTACTTTTCAAATATAGTCATTTTTTAATATAGTACCGATTTAAAATTTTAAAATTCAACAATTGGGCGGGCTCGACCAGAAATGCTATGCTTGCGCAGAAGACGACCCCTCTTCCCATACGACGACAGACAACCACCCATAGGAGGTTTACTGCACAAGGCCCCTGCAGAGGAAAAGCTTTATCCCTCATTTTTTAAAAGATTTTACCAAAACCAAAAACCTGCCATTGGGCAAAATACTAGTTCATGGTCACTGAGATCTTAGTCCAGTTAGTAATAATTAAGGGAAAAAAAGACTAAATACTAAACCAATCAAGATAATGATTTAAAAGTAAATAAGTTAGATTATAATCAACTTAAAGTTAAACCAATCATATAAAATCACATAATTTAATTAAAAACAAAAAACATATAGTACATTGAAACGGCTGGTATATTTATCTCTCTTGCGGCCGTGTCTTTTTTTTTTTTTTTAAAAAACCAACCTATTGTAAGTGTAACTGTAAAGTATCTAGAAATCTGCGGGTTAAAAAAAAAAGGGTTAATTAATTCACAAGTCCTTATAGTTTCAACGAATTTTGAATCAGGTCTTTATAGTTTTTTTTCTTTTTATAAGGTCCTTATATTTTTACCTTTTTTTAATTAGGTCTTTATATTTATTTTTCTTTTAATTAAGTCCTTATAATTTCACTAAATTTTTAATCAGGTCCATGTAGTTTTAATTTTTATTTATTAATTAAATATAAGCTTAATTAAATAGATTAATACTGAAACATAAAATATTAATAATTAAATTAAATTATTAATTATGTAATAAAAAAGTAATAGAATTAATTAATTCAAGAAAATTTTTTAGAACAATTAATTTTTTTCTGAAAAAATTAAAATCATGATAATAATTCAATATCTTTAGAATATTATTATTATAAAACTAATATTAAATAATATATACTATTTTATGTTTATATAATAGTACTATTAGAATTTATAAAATAAAGAATAAAAAATTCAGGGACTTAATTAAAAATAAGGTGAACTTATAAGGACTTGATAAAAAGAAAAATAAATATAAGAACTTAATTAAAAACAGGTGAAAGTATAAGGATCTGATAAAAAGAAAAAAAAATCAAGGATCTAATTCAAAATTAGTTGAAATTATAAGGAGCTGTGGATTAATTATCCCACAGAAAAAAAAAGTACCTAGAAATCTAGAATCCTCATCCTCATTATTGCAATTTTTTAACTTTTCTTTTCTCGGTACATATATTCCCCAGACCAGAGCCTTCAAATTGCTCGCATGGAGGCCATAAAAAATCCATCACGACTCAGATTCGATCCAGCAGGATTGTCTCTTCAGTATAAAAGGGAAGCATCCAATGCACACAGTGAAACCAGCCGCCCTCATACTTCCCCTTCTTCCTTCCTTCTTTCAGCCATTAATCCTTTTCCTCATCCACAATCCCACGTGCTTTCTTCTTCATACCTGCACCGCCTAACCACCTGTGCTCCTTTTTTGTTTTTACTGCCTTTGTTGTCATATTCGTATGCTGATTCTCTGTCTTCTTCGTCCCTTCTTCTTTCGCTTCTTTCTGGCTTTTTCCTTCACCGAGAACAAAACATTGTAATGTTCTCTGATTACTGACTTTTTCATCCATGGCTCCTGTTGTTGATACTCCATTGGGCATTCTCAATGCTGCATTCTTCATCGCTATATTGATATGGATTTTGGTTGATAGTTTGAGGGAAAGTAGGCGTAGCGATGTTGTATATTTGAAACACGTACCGAAACGATTCGTTGTTTTCTCCACAATCACGCCTGTGTTTCATGTTATTCTTTCGGTTTTGAACTTCGCTTTTGCCTTTCATGAATATTGGAGGGAGAAAATCGTGTCATATTACTCTGTTTCGTTGGCTCTCACTTGGATTTTAGCGACCTTGGGTTCGGTGTACTCCATGAAGAGCATACGCCGAGAAAACAAAACGTGGCCTCTCGTTTTGATTCTCTGGTGGTTCTTCGCCACTGTGTTGGATTTAATCTTCGTTTCTGTGAAACTCTTCAAGAATTTCAAATCCTTGGATTTGTCTTTCTTTTTGTTAGAGGAAAACGTGGTGGATTTCGTTTCCTTTCCTCTTTTGTTACTTCTCTGGTTCAATGCTCTGCCTTCTGTATGGACGAGGAAACGCAGTGAATCTGAACAAGTGTTGCTTCAAAAGAAGGACGGCGGCGAAGAAGAAGAACAAGAAGATGAGGAAGCATTTATAAATGCTGGAATATGGAGCAAGCTCACGTTTCAATGGCTGAATCCTATTTTCAGGAGAGGTCAGATTCAGAAACTTGACCTTCCTCATATCCCTTCAGTACCTCAATCTGAAACTGCAGAATATGCTTCTTCCATGCTCGAAGATTCACTCCGAAAACGAAAACTCGAAAACGGCTCACTGACGAAAGCTATTGCTCATTCTATCTGGAAATCCTTGACCTTGAACGCAGTTTTCGCAGGTAATTTTCATTCTAACTGGAAATATAATTTTTAGTCCTTGAATTATACATGTTTTTAACTTTTCTGTTCTTTGATCTAAGAAATATATAAAATTTAATCCGTGACCATAGCATATTTTTTAATCACCACACCCTAGTCTCTCAAGGATTAAAATATTGAAAAAAATAGAATTAAAAAAATAAGGCGAATCTATATAAACAGTACATGTAAAATTAATAAGAAGCCATGGAAAAAAAATTCAAAAAACAAATATTTTTCCTCGTCGTCCTTATTTCATTGTTAGAGTTTGTCAGAATCATCATTTGATTATTTACTAATTTATCAATGATATTTAATTTATTTGGGGGCAGGTGTTAACACAGTGGCCTCTTACATGGGTCCCTTGTTGATCACAAATTTCGTGAATTTCTTATCGGGAAATTATAATGATTCAAGCATCCACTACGGGCTAATTCTTGCGTTCATTTTCTTCCTGGCAAAGACTCTGGAATCATTAACTCAAAGACAATGGTACTTTGGGGCTCAGCGAATAGGAATTCAAGTCCGTGCAGCTCTCACGGGTCTGATATACAACAAATCACTATCGATCAAGTGTGGTGGACCAACACATAGTAAAATCATAAACTTAATCAGTGTGGATGTTGAAAGGATTGGAGATTTCTGCTGGTTCATTCATGGAGTATGGTTGCTTCCAGTTCAGGTTGTGTTGGCCTTGGTTATCTTGTACAGGAATTTAGGATTCACACCCTCCGTTGCTGCATTTGCTGTCACTGTTTTGGTCATGGTGTGCAATACTCCCATGGCTAATATGCAGGAAAATCTTCACTCCAAGATTATGGAAGCCAAAGATTCGAGGATTAAAGCGACTTCAGAGATACTAAAGAACGTGAGAATTTTGAAATTGCATTCATGGGAGTCCACATTTCTGAAGAGGCTCCATCAGCTTAGGGAAATTGAGAAGAACTGGCTTAAGAAATATCTGTATACTTGCTCAGCAGTGACGTTTCTGTTTTGGACATCACCAACTCTTGTTTCTGTGGTCACTTTTGGTGTCTGTATAATGGTGAAAACAGAATTAACAGCAGCCACTGTACTCTCAGCTCTAGCAACTTTTCGTATCTTACAAGAACCAATCTACAACTTACCTGAGCTTGTCTCCATGATAGCTCAAACGAAAGTGTCACTTGATCGAATCCAAGAATTCATTAAAGAAGAGGATAAAATGCAATTCATGACTAAGCCTACATTGAAACCTTCTGATATTGCCATTGAAATTAAAACAGGCGAATACTCATGGGAAGCTGATGATCAATACTACAAGAAACCGACTATTCAAATTACAGAGAAGTTGAAAATAGAGAAAGGTCAAAAGGTAGCAATATGTGGGTCGGTGGGGTCTGGCAAATCAAGCCTGCTATGCTGTATGCTTGGTGAGATTCCGAGGATTTCAGGCCCAGGAATTGAAGTATATGGAAGTAGAAGTTATGTTCCCCAAAGTCCCTGGATTCAATCGGGGACTGTGAGAGAAAATATACTGTTTGGCAGGAAAATGAACAAGGACTTGTACGAGAATGTCCTGGAATGCTGTGCATTGCACCAGGATATCAATCACTGGGAAGATGGAGATTTGACCATGGTAGGGGAGAGGGGCATCAACTTAAGTGGAGGCCAAAAACAGAGAATTCAACTGGCAAGGGCTGTTTACAATGATTCTGATATTTATTTCCTGGATGACCCTTTCAGTGCCGTTGATGCTCATACTGGAACGCATTTGTTTAAGGTAAATACTACTTACTTTCCACTGATAAAAATACTTGAAACTTTGAAGCTTCTTTTTTCATTTGTATATTTTTAGACACACATACACACGCAAAGAGGGACTTCAATGAATGTGGGATGTTGTGCAGAAATGTCTCCTGAAACTCCTATCTGAGAAAACAGTTGTTTACGCTACCCATCAGCTGGAATTTTTGGAAGCTGCTGATCTTGTCTTGGTGAGCTACTCAGCATTTGTCTTTCCCTGAAGAAAGTGTTATATGTTTCTGACCTCTCACCGTCCCTATACTTTTTGGTAGGTAATGAAAGATGGGAAAATAGCTGGGTCCGCAAAGTATGAAGACCTGATAGCATGCCACACTTGCGAACTTGTTGACCAAATGGCTGCTCATAAGGAAACAATCAAACAAATTAGACCGTGCTGCGAGTATAAATCCTTATCCAAGAACTGTACACCATGCCAAATACAGCAAATTAAAGTAGCCGAAACAAACCTTGAAGAAAACAGGACACAGTTGGAGAGAACCAAAGAAGAGAAAGCAGAGACGGGTCGAGTTGATTGGAGTGTTTACTCAACCTTCGTCACGTTTGCTTATAAAGGCGCATTTGTTCCTATTATTCTCTTATGCCAAATTCTCTTTCAAGGAATGCAAATTGGAAGCAATTATTGGATTGCTTGGGCGGCAGCACAAAGAGGCAGTGTTAGTAAAGAAATGCTTATAGGGACCTTTGTTTTGCTATCTGGTGGCAGTTCCATCTTCATACTAGGAAGGGCTATTTTCATGGCAAAAATTGCTGTAGAGACAGCTCAACGTCTTTACCAACAAATGATTACATCGGTTTTCAGAGCTCCCGTTTCTTTTTTCGATACCACCCCGTCAAGCAGAATCTTGAATAGGGTCAGTTTCCATAATATTATGAACTTGGTAGTTATTCACTTCCTTTGGCATATATGAATTCTTGTAATTTGTTTTAATATTTCTCTTTTTTATTGCAGTGTTCCACAGATCAAAGTACAGTGGACACAGATATACCGTACCGATTAGCAGGACTAGTATTTGCACTTATCCAGTTGTTGAGTATCATCGTCCTGATGTCCCAGGTTGCTTGGCAAGTCATTCTTTTCTTTCTTGTCGTGCTTGCGATCTCCATCTGGTATCAGGTAAAATATATCAACCTTTTCATCTGAATTCAAGGTAGATAATGAGGAAGCCACCTCTAGGTCAAATTCTCTCTTCAGGGAGGAATTATGCATCTTTGCAGGCTTATTACATTACTACTGCCAGAGAATTGGCCAGGATGGTAGGAATAAGGAAGGCTCCAATCTTGCATCACTTCTCAGAATCAATTGCTGGGGTGGCCACAATCCGTTGTTTCAATCAACAGAAAAGATTTTATGGGAAAGTTATGGCTCTAATTGATGATTATTCTCGTGTGGCATTTCATAATTATGCCACCATGGAATGGTTATCTATTAGAATAAACTTTCTCTTTAATCTGGTCTTCTTCTTCGTTCTCATCATCTTGGTTACACTGCCAAGGTCTGCCATTGATCCCAGTAAGCTCCTCCTCCATCTACCTAGCAGTTTCATGTATCAGATAAACAATCTATTATCTGAATTCTCAATAATTAACTCTTCAGGAGGACAACATCTTTCATTTTATGTTTAATCTTGCGTTAATGTGATGTTTGTCACATAACAATTGCTTTGTCTAATTTTCAGGCTTGGCAGGTCTGGTAGCTACTTATGGTTTGAACTTGAGTGTTCTTCAGGCTTGGGTGATATGGAACCTCTGCAATGTGGAAAACAAAATGATATCAGTGGAGAGAATACTACAATTCACTAAGATACCAAGTGAAGCTCCATTGATAATTCAAGATTGTAGACCCCAAATAGAGTGGCCTACGGAGGGAAAAATTGAACTTCACAATCTCCATATTCAGTATGATCCTGCAGCTCCTATGGTTCTCAAAGGTGTCACTTGCACCTTTCCAGGACACAAGAAGATTGGAGTTGTAGGGAGGACAGGAAGTGGAAAATCCACCTTAGTGCAAGCTCTCTTCCGTGTGGTGGAACCTTCAGTAGGGTGGATACTTATTGATAGTGTGGATATTTGCAAGATTGGGCTAAAGGATTTGAGATCCAGGCTTGGCATAATTCCTCAGGATCCTACCTTGTTTCAAGGTACTGTAAGGAACAACTTGGATCCTCTAGAGCAACACTCAGATCAAGAACTTTGGGAGGTTAGCATCAAAAGAACTCTTTCTTAAAAATGTTAATTTCTATATATCTTCTTGGGGAAAAAAAATCTATATATCTCAGTGCTAAGAAGACTTGACTGTCCAGGTTCTCCGTAAGTGCCATCTTGCTGATATAGTTAGGAAGGACCCAAGGCTTCTTGATGCATCAGGTATAAATATATGCACGTGATATCTATATTCATCCGCATTTCCTACACACCTAAGAGTAAATGTAAATGGCGCATTAATAGAGATTAAAAGAAAACATTGGATGAGTGTAATGATAAGATGTGAAGTCTATGAACATTTACGTCCTCTTGTGTTATTTCCTTCCAAATGCATGAATGAATAAATGTAAAGGATCCAATCTAATATATATATATATATATAAAAAACATAATACACCCCCTTATCAATTTGAAATTTAATTGAATTCGAACAATGCTGCAGTGGCTGAAAATGGAGAGAATTGGAGTGTTGGACAAAGGCAACTTGTTTGTCTTGCCAGGCTGCTATTGAAGAAAAGAAGAATTTTGGTTCTTGATGAAGCTACTGCATCGATTGACACGGCGACTGATAATTTAATTCAAAAGACTATCAGAGAAGAGACAAGTGAATGCACGGTCATTACAGTAGCACATAGGATTCCTACAGTTATTGATAATGACCTCGTATTGGTTCTCGATGAAGGTATTTGAAGATTCATTGTGTCCAAATAAAGAAATTAGGGAAGAACATGTATCTTTTTAATATATCATATCATTCCTTGAGTGCTAATATTCTGATATGTGCAGGGAGGATTGCAGAGTTTGATCACCCAGCTAAGCTGCTAGAGAACAATTCATCATCATTCTCAAAGCTAGTATCAGAATTTTTGAGGAGATCAACTCAGAATGATTGCCAAAATGACACTATGTGAAGACACTAACAGAGAGAAGGTCTGAATAAGTCGCAACCAAAACTCAACCGTACATAACAAAAGGGTAGATTGCCAAGCATCTTAAGTTCTGGCATTAGGTAGATGCTCAAAGTTACTTGATTCATTCATGACATTAGGGAAGTTAGGATGAATAACTCAATATCGACTGGGGATTCTGACTTTGACATGAGTCACTTGCTTTTCTTGTGTCTCAATCCTGATAAATATTGTAACTTAATGGAATCTGCTGTTAACAACAGTCTCTTGGTAATCTCAATGACAGATGAAGATGTAACTCTTGGTTCAATTGATAGGATTGAAGGTCTAATTTTCTTTACCATGATCATCTGATCAAGCATGCAATAATTAGTAGGGCCTTTTCACCAAGACAATAAATTTCCGTGCAGCTAACCAAAAAGTACTAAGCATCAATACATTAAGACTATAACTACTATTTGTCTATTTGATATAACTATTTTATCCTTTTCTCAAACTCCTAGTAATTTTAAAAATTAAATGGTTATATTGTTATGTTTAAAAGATGTGTTGGTTGAGATGATAAGTAGCAATGACCCCTTTGAGAAGAACACAAATACATCTTTTAAGAAGCACATTTGTCAGTAAAAAATGTAATCTGTCTTGGATATCTAACCCATGTTAGAAGGCCAGGTATAGGAAAGACATCAGATATGGGTGGTGGGGTCTTCCTGTTGTGCCCCCAAAAAAAAAAAATCTAACTTCTAAACTACTTATAGTTGAGAGAGACTAAAAAAAGGTACTTATAATAATAATATAAAAAAAAAAAACCAGAGAGATGTTGTAACTTACACTGTTTACTCAACTTATTATATTCCTTGTTGAGTTGGACTGTGCTTTGTATAAATGCCATAAAAGGATTGGTCCAATGCATACATGTATTTTAAAATTACTGTTTTATAAACATATACCCTTTTTTTTTGGGCACATTTCTTTACTAGTCTTCATTTTTCATTTCAATGCTTATGACATATAAATATGCATAATATATAGCTTAGAACTATTACCTAAATTTTAAGTTTTTTTTTTAAAATTCTGATTCTCCCCAATTTTCGACTAGCCGTTAGGCCGGTCCTCATCTAGCTTACTCCATTTATTTTTATTTATTAGTTGTCTTCTAAAAGCTTTTTATGTTCCTATTTATAAGTTATTTTATAAAATCTATGTAATTAATATTTTTTAATATTGCCCTTGATATAGATATTGTTGAGTGATTATGGTGGAGACAGGGATTACAAAAATTGAATAAAATTATGGTAGGATTTGTTGCATTTAATTAAAGGATTTTTAAAATAAAATTACGATAGTTTTAAGAACATATACTATTTTTAAATAATTTTCTTGAGTTCTGTAAATAATTAAACTTAAAAATAAAAATGGAGGTGGTATTAGGCAATGCACTTGTCCCAGCCATCCTCCGTGGATACGCAAGAGTCGTGGAAGTTTTTAACTTTTTATACAACCAACTAAATGTTATATTACCTCCGGTACTTAACATAAGAGTTAGTTGATTAATTTAAGTAAATTAAAAAAATTTGTTAAATTAGTTATTTGTAATAAATATATGTTATCTTCCCTAAAATACTTTTGCTAATCATATGTTTTAGTTAGAATTACTCTTTGACAGAATCTTTAATATGCGTTGCTACTACAAGAACTTTTTTTTTTTAAATGACTAAATATAAAAGACAAAATGGATTAGAATCTTATATTTAGGATCAAACTGAATGTTATACTAATTCTTATATTAAGGATATGAGGTAGTAGCAATATTATTATATAAAATTATTGACAATATAATAAAGTACTTGTTAGATTTTTGGAATAAGAGACATGATTTTGTAGAAGAGCAGAGATGGGAATTAAAGAAATATTCTTTTTATTTTCGTATGAACTGGGTATTATATGAAAGCAAATCCTTATAATCTCTCCATATTAATGCTGAGTACGGTAAATTAATTCCTTTTTCTAGCCATTATAGTAAATTAATTCTTGATGATTGCATTTTCTAATGTATAGTTAATAATAGGGAAATTCTCTTTGGATCTTAGGTGTATATTCATTATGAATAATTGATAATTAAACCTTCGAAAATGTGTTGTGTAATAACCTAAGGGAACAAAAATTAGTGGGAAATAAATTATAATTAAGCTTAAGACTTGGGGAAAATACAAAGGCATTGGCTTGATTGAACCAATTTTATATAACTACATGATTGAGTTAGATTTGATCATTTTCGAGCCCAATACGGATAACTTTCCCAAAAATATGTTTTCTACGTTCACACATATTCAAATTTAAGACCTCATGTTTAAACAATCAAAGTTTCTTTCACTAATTAAGATTAGGGCTTGGGTTTTCTCCCTTTCCTTTCATTCTTAGGATTAAAAAAAATGGATGGTTTAAATTTAGTTTTTTTAATGAAATTATTAGTATAAATACAAATAAATTTGAACTATTAAAAATCTGATCTACACAATTCGTAATTGTAACTGAAGGAAAGACAAGAAAAAATCAGAGAGAGGAGAGAGAAATGTACCAGGTCGGTTTTAGTTCGTGATACTGATAGCTCACGCAGTACCGAGACTATTAGAGCCTTGGCAAGAATGGCATAGCAGATGCATCAGAGAGAGGAGAAGAGATAACCAAAAAGCTTAACAGTTGGGGTGAAGAGAAATGAACTGAGACACCTTCTATTTATAGGGTCTAGGTGACCCTTCTTTTAGGAGGGTGCAATCTCCCATACTTATTGCGAGATAATATTCTAATTCTTCAATCAACAATCAACGTCTGATTGATTTCTCTTCAATCAATCAAGTCTTTAATGCTTTATTGAATATTTTCAAATTAGTCAATTATTGCCTTTGATTTGTGACTGTTAGAGAGATTCTCTTCTCTTAGATCAAATAGTTCGGCCCGTTAAGGGCTAACATGGGCCAAATGTCTACCATCTCCTACTCACACTTAATAGGTTCACCATTGTGCAATTCTCCTATCCTTCTCATTTCATACTTGGTGCTTTGTTGTGACTGCATGGGCATGAGTCTTCAACTTTGGATGCTTGTTCACTAGAAGCTCTTGAGGCTGAGCCAATGCACAAAGACATCCCAAGCATATTTGGATACTACCTTGAATGCCCCAGATTTACCCTTACATTTTTCTTATGGCACATTTAATCCCTCTCGAGTCAAGTTCATCTAACTCAGATTGCCTACTTTTATACGTAGCATCCACATGTGTAAGTTGCTCAAATTCCTTACAAGAGACATGTCACAGATACTAGTATATAGCCATTACTCAAGTAAAGCTTTGTTGCTTTCTTGGTATTTACTTGTTAGACTGGATCTCTCATGATCACAGGGTGCAAGCCAAGATAGCAAGTACTAGGTTGTCTCTTCATGAATCGTCTAAGTCTTAAGGGCATCATAAAAGGTTTATTCTTTTTAG